GAGGAATGCTCGTGCGGCTCGTTCGCGAGCTACTCTTCAACGAGCTCGGAGTGCTTCCGGAGTGCCCTTAGTAGGATGACTTTTCTGCTTAGGAGCTCGGGCGAGCTGGTTTCCTTAGCTTGCGAGCTAAGGTTGCCTCGGAATATCCCTTTGGAGGTAGCTCGGGGAACCCGGAGCTCGCGTCGTGGCGAGCTCCTCCTTTTGCTCGCTACGATGTAGCGAGCTACTTTATGGGCCCGTTACTTAGTCGTACTGGACCGCAATGCTGAGCTGCCGCCTACGTCGAGTCAGTGTCCACGTGTCACCGTTTCATAGATCGGGTCAAATCATCCTTCATCAGACTTAATGATGAGAAGAAACAAAAATGACTTAAATATAAGATTCATTGAACATGAATGCAAGTTAATAAATTAAATTTTGGATTTATTGAGAAGGAATTGAGTGCATTGAATATCATAAAATTACCTCTTTTCAATTCATTTAATATCAATAACTGATTAACCTATTTGCCTTCACTTTTTATTAGTAAATTTAAATTCGACATTCCATTTTTATCATTAATAAAAATACTTCTTACATTTTATACTTATTTATTTTAAATTTTTTATTATTTAATTATGGAATTATTTATTAATCCATTTGACCCCAAATGATTGAATTGCTTGCAATGGTTTTGTTTTCAAATTACTTTTCAAAAAATTTATTTTTATACTATTAAAATTAATATTGTGGATTTAATTACAAGAACTTAATGATGAGAAAAATATATCTTAAATATAGGATTTAATGAGAGAGAATAAGAAAATATTTTTATTTTCAATTGGTTTTAAATTTTACATTCAATTTCCATCATTAATAAAAATATTTCTTATTTATCATACTTATTATTGTTTAATATGTACGTTAAAAATGTTTCCATTTTTTTAATTTCTAATTTTTTATTTTATCTATTTTTGAATTTTATTATTTAATCGTGGCAACTTGGATTAACCCATTTGACCCAAAATGGTTTAATTTCTTACCACCACCAACATGAAAACTCTATTTTTTCTAGGTAGATTTTAAAAGTATAAGCTTTTATGTTATTGAAATTATTAATTTATTATGTATGGATTTAATTAATAGAACTTAATGATGAGAAAAAGCAAAAATGACTTAAATATAAGATTCATTGAACATGATGCAAGTTAATAAATTAAATATTAGATTTATTGAGAGGGAATTGAGTGCATTGAATATCATAAAATTACCTCATTTCAACTCATTTAATATCAATAACCGATTACCCTATTTGCCTTCACTTTTTATCAACAAATTTAAATGTAGAGGAGTAAGTTTTTTCCTAAAATATTCCAGAAATATTCTAGAAGCCATTTATGCTTTTTAAAGTAGTATAGATTCATGACATGATGGACATCGATAACAAATAGATGTACCTCATGTTTTGTGCTTCCTCATTTGTCAACTTGGGTTAATCTGGGCTGGTTAGTTCCAAACAATCAATGCTACTTGCTAAAGAAAAATTCTAGACCAATGTTCTCTTTTCTTTTTTCATTTTCTCTAGAACTAATTTTCTTCTATATATATATATACATCAATGATTCTACTTTCTTTTGTTATAGTCTATCTACTAATGGACACCAAGTTTATTAACTTATTGATCAAACTAGCAATAGTAGAAATGCCCATACAATTTGATACATAACATGATACTAATATTGAGTCAATCCCTGTTGGTGTTTATTATTGATGCGGTGTGTTATGGTTCTATTCTTCTTATCTATTTCAAATGAACACCTCTTCTACTAACATTATTTTAAGCATCAAATGCAAGCTTTGCAGTATCAAATTTCTCTATAGCATAGCATCTTTCTCAACCAGCTCTTCTAAGTGTGTGTGGAGAAGAAAAATAAAAGTAGAGAACCCAAACTTTTATACAAAGATGAGAAATAAAAACTTAAAGCCATAGAAGAAATTTGGTTCTAATCCTCATGAAAGATTTCCATTATATTAACCCTTAACTCAAAGTTAGAAAGGTCATCACGGTTTCTGCTTTCAAATGACTCCCATTGCCATTATCACCTACCTTGGATTCCTCATCTAGTGGTTGCACCATCTTCTCTTCACCAAAGGAAAAATCCCTTGTATAAAGCAATACAAGGGATACAAGGGATACTACAACAATATGAACATAAAGCAATACAAGGAAAAAAGGTTGCTATGTGACCCCTTTTAAGCAGTAAATGTTCAAAATTTTTGCTAGAGGGTAAGTGTGGTTATAGTGGTGGCTATATATATTTTTTGTTAGATACATTTTTTATATGTTTCCTTAAAATTCTTGTTTGAGAGAGAAAACCAAATCAAATCGGATGCAAAGAAAGGAAAAAACAAAACTTGCCTATGAAGTCTCCTCTCCTATGCTTAAAAAACTTTTGGTTTTCCCTAAAGCCACACCAATTAATTCTTCTCTCCTACATATGAGAAGCCTTTCATTGCCTCTGAATAATTGAACAAAGAATGGGCAATCTTGTTCATCTTCTCTCCTGCATATGAGAAGCCTTTCATTGCCTCTGAAGGAGGGTTTTTTCAAATTCACTAGAGGTCTGCATTAAGGGGACTCTCTCGCCTCTTATTGTTCATTTTAGTGGAAGAGGTTCTTGGTAGGGTTGTAGGGGCTTGACAAAATTGGTTGGTGCTAATTTAGTGGATTCTTATCATGGTCCTAGAGGCTATTTGGTGTTATCTTATTGCTTATATGTAGATGACACAATAATATCTGTAAGAGGCAATAAGCATTTGCTGACTTACCTTATAAATTTTTTTATCCAAATATGAGATGGCCTCTAGTCCATTGATATAGAAGAATTGCTTCTTTACTTTATGGAAAGAGCCCCTCTAATAGAATTCAAATTATTGTAAGGTGTTGTTGACATGCTTCATGGATCTTTTATACAAATATGAGATGGCCTCTTGTCCACTGATATAGAAAAGTTGCTTCTTTACTTCATGGAAAATGCTCCCTTACTAGAATTCAAAATATTGTAAGGTGAACTGGGCTTACAAAGAGGAATTTTCCATTTAAATACTCCTATTATGGTGGGAAGGCTTCAACTTCATCATGTGGATTTTGAAGAAATACTCTCTAAAGTCTCAAAGAGGATAGCTAGTTGGAAGGGCAAGCTTTTGTCGTCTTTTGGTGGGGAAATGGTTTTAAATAAATTACAGTGTCCTCCCTAGTATTCCAGTTCATCTATCATCATCGTTGTTACTTCGGACTCAATGTTAAGAAGGCTAAGTGTTATGTGCAAATTTCCTTTGGGTTAGTAAGGATGGCACTGACAAGCACCATTGGAGAGCTTGGAAAGAAATTTGTTTTCCTTATGATGATGTGGATCTTAATGTTCTAGACATCACATTGTTGATAAATGTTTTACAATAAAGATTTGTGGAATGCTATTTTTGGCAAGTCGATTTGGCCTAGTTAATGGTTATGACTTGGGTTGTATTTGGTACTATTTTAAGTGACTCTCCACATACATCTCCTTTATTTTGCATGCATAATCCTTAGATTAACACATGTGTTCTTATTTTGGGTCATTGAAAAGGAAGCGCTTGCAATTCTCCAACTCCCAACCACAACCCTCTATTTCTCAACATGACAGAGTTGAAGAACAAATTCCACAAGCAGATAATGACCAATCACAATCACACCAAGTCCTGGATTCTCAACAACATAACAATACAGAATCTCAAGCTCCCCAAGTAGAGGAAGAGTAACTTCACGAAAGTGGAGAAGATGCTCAAGAGCAATGCACTGAGACAATATCCTCACAAAAAAGAACAAGGGGGCCAACAATTTGTAGTGAAATTTATTATATGCCCGATGGTCAGAGGATTGTTGTCCCCACTAATGGCCTAGGCCAAGGAGTGGATGCTGTGGCACAATTTCTTGGAACCTTGGCTCGAAATTGGAAATTATTTCCTATTGATGTAGACAATTGGAAGAAAATTCCAGAGTCAACAAAAAATCGTGCTTGGGAATTTGTAAAGGTATTAAACAACTTAGCTTTCTATGTTTCATTTTTCATATTATTTTTATTACCCTATGATATAATTTTATTTGTCGTATATATGGTTCTTATATGCAATGCAGCGAAAATTTGATCTGCCGGATAATTCAAAAGCATGGGCCTTAAAAAATATAAATATTAAATGGAAGATGACATTGAGGAAGACTTATTATAAGCCTAATGTTCCAGCAATTGAGCAACTTGATTGTCCTACTCCACAGATTCATAAAGATCAATGGGTTAATTTGTTATGTATTTGGGAATCTGATAATTTTAAGGTATGTGTGGCTAAATTATATGTATTTCCTACTTTAATCCAAATTAGAATACTTTATAATTTTCTTCCTATTATGTATGTATGGCAGAAATCTAGTGAAGTGAACAAAGATAACCGATCTAAGAAGGTCATCAACCATTGTGTAGGAACAAAAAGTTATGCAAGGATTCGCAAAGAGGTAACACCTTTATCTAATATGATTTTCTTAATATGCATTCAATATTGTATTAACCCAGTAATATAATAAGTTCTATTGGTCTATGTGAGAATAGGCAGAGGATACTGGTGAGACATTCTTTAAGAAAACACATACTCGTAAAGATGGTACACCCGTTGATGATGCATCAAAAGAGATTATGGTATGCTTTATATATTATTTATTAAGAATTTTTACATGTTTGTAATATACTATTGTGCAATTTTATTAACTTCTTTAATGAAATTGTAGGATAAAATTGATGAGCTTTTATCTCAACAAACGAATGAGAACTCAGAAAGGACCACTGCTGCCCAGGATGACATGTTTGCCAAAGCCTTGGGTAAGTCAGAGAGGCGTGCCTTATGGGCTTAGGTCCAACTCCTAGGGATTTGTGGGGACCAAGAACCAACAACAGATTTGCCTCTATTGGTCAGATAGAAAATGAAAATAGAGAATTAAAGGATAAGGTTCATAATTTAGAAGAAAAAATAGAGGGCATGGCGGATAAGCTTTCCCAGTTTAACAACATGGCAGAGGAGTTTTCTCAATTGAAAAAGATGATATTAGGAAAACAGGTAATTATTATGTTTTCTATGGCTCAAATAATTATATCTATGTTAATTGAGCACATTTAAGTTTGATAATTTAACTACGTACTTTACTCTTGTAGTTGCCAAATGAGGATGCTGCTCATTTCAATACCCCAAACCAATTCCATTCCTCAGTTGGGAGCCAAGTATTAAATTGTCAATCGCAGGGTGTACAAGGTATGGATGCTTCTCCAAGCATATCCACAGGTCAAGATACTCAGCATGTTAGCTCATTTGAGATGTATTTATAGTTCAAATCTGCTATATTGTATTTTTTAATTGTTTTAGTATATTCATGATGTATATAATATTTTCCTAATAATATCATGTAAAAACTTCATGTGCAGTATTTGACAGCAATTAAGATCATGGTTCCGGGTCCAGAAAAGAATGAAGTTGTAGAAAAAGGTTTATTTATTACAGATGATCCAAAAAAAGTTGTATGGAAAGATGAACTTGGTCCCGGACGGTGTGAGGTAATGGTAAAGACGGCATTAAATAAGAATTGTGGGTTGATGAAGAAACATGCAAATCTAAGGACTATAGGAGATGCACAAGGATGCAGCATTCTTGGGTTACCTCCTTTGTAAGTATACACACGTGGATATTCAAATATACTAATAATAATTTTATCTTTGATGATAATGATGTTTAATTATGATGATTTTGTTATATTTGTTATCTTTGCTAGATTGAGCGGCAAACAGTTGGAAGGAAGAAGCATTGAACATGGCATTTTTTACAGGTATTAATATAATGCTCTCTCTCTCTCTCTCTCTCTCCTATTTCAACCTTAATTAGTTATCCCAAGAATCAATATGACATATATTATTCCATTATATACATGTGTAGTTGAGTTTTAAGCTAAGTCTCTCTCTTTAGGGGATGGCATTAATGGGTCAGAAACAAAGAGGGTTCAAGAGAACCAAACTGCTCAATTTGGGAACTTCTCATACACCCACTTCCTTGTGACAAATCCAAGCAAACAGGAGCATTTTTTTCTTGGGTCTACACTGTTTTTCACATTTAGGCTATGTTTGGTTTGAAGGAAAAGGTAGGGAAAGGAAGGGAAAGACAGAGAAACCTATACAAGGTTTGTAAAGGTTTCCCTATCTTTCCCTTTCCCTACTTTTTCCTTCAAACCAAACACAGCCTTATGGATCCCATGAGCTTGTTGCTGAACCCATGAAGGAAATCCACTTAAAATCAACTACAACAGTGGTATGAAGTATGAATCAAAAGTGGCCCACCTGCAATGAAATGGACCATGTGCACACAAATCAATTGCACCAACTTATTTCTCATTGAACCTCATAGAAAAAGAAGAAAGAATGGAACTCAAAAGGAAGTGAAGAGTTCATGAATCTATGACCAATCTCATTTCCTGCAATCCAATACTTTGGTACTTGTATACAACTTTTCTTGGAGCTACTTATTGAGCCATATACCTTGTGCTAATGTTTGGTCTTAGAAAACCCTTTGTCTTTGCCCTTTTTCTCATAGAGGATAAGTCAACATAKATGTCAAGCTTCACATCAGACAAACTAAAACTCTTATAGTGCAAATTTACATGCTTACTTTCTGATTGTTTATATGACCCAAAAAAGTCAGCATATTTTCATCTACATGTACARAAATATTGTGCAAAGACTAAAATTCAACAGTTAAGTAGAACACTCTAAAATTTATTTTATTTTTCTTTTGAAAAAGGTAATGCACTGCATTAAACAAGCAGAAGTAAAGTAGAGATTTTGCTCCTATACAGTGTTGGGCCGTATTGAAGCCTATACAAGCTCTAAACCCACCAATACAATGCAATGGCTACAAAGGAGGTGGAGCTGAAGACATTTGGGCCTGATGATTCTCTGAAGAACTTGAAGGGAGAAAGGCAAGGGAATGAGTATCTCATTAACCTTATTGATTTTCCTAGGCATGTTACCTTTCATCTGAGATCACTGCTGCTCTCCGCATTACTGATGGTGCACTGGTGGTGGWTGATTGTGTTGAGGGTGTATGTGTTCAAGCTGAAACTATCCTCCGTCAAGCCCTTGGTGAGAGGATTAGGCCTRTCTTGACTGTAAACAAGATGGACAGGTGCTTCCTTGAGTCTTATCAAACTTTTCCAAAGAAGTCATTGAGAATGCTAATGTGATTATGGCTACATTACTTATGAAAGATAATCTTGAAATAGCAGGAGCTTTCATCTTTCTATATCAATAAAAATCCTATTGACTTTGTCATTGATAAAGAAAAAAGAAGAAGAAAACATTGATGTTGAACTTGTATGCACACCAAGAAAACATCATGTCAAACGAAGAAGATTTCTTTAATTTTTCATTAAATTATTATAGCATTTGGACCCAAATGCCTCAGCCTACCRAGACTAAACAACAGTTTTCAAGTTCAATGACCAAAAAACTTTCAAGTTCAGTGATTTACTTCAACATAGTTGGGCCCCACATGGAATTCATAAACACTGTTGTGTTTAGTGAAAATCCGAAATTCATAAAAGATGTGTTTGATCTCAATCCTTACATTTGTCATTTGTTTAACATTAGGCTTAGAAAGTAGGCAAGAGTTTATATTCCATATATACTTAATTAAATTTTCATATATGATTTTATATCTCCAAAAATGTGATTTCTAACTTATTTTTTATTATTTTCTTATAGATTGAACATGGTAAAGGATGATACTTCACACGTGTGGATGGAGACATTTGATCAAATTTTACATGCCATTTTTTTTTATTGAGTTTTATGTATTCAAGAACATTGAGAATTAGTTCATGTATTTAAGAACCATTTAATGAAATTTTAAATTCAATTTCCATCTTATATTATGAATTACTTGTGCTTGTATTCAATACAGGAAAGCAGGTTTCAAATAAATAATGAAAAAGTTTAGGATCTAGCCATTTAGGCTTTATGTCTTTTGCTACAGGCAATGAAAACCGTTTCTAAAGGTATGCTACAGTCAACGAAAACCGTTGCAAAAGGTCTTTTCATGTTATTCAAAACCGTTTCTAAAGGTATGCTACAGTCAACGAAAATAGGCTTTATGTCTTTTGCTACAGGCAATGAAAACCGTTTCTAAAGGTATGCTACAGTCAACGAAAACCGTTGCAAAAGGTCTTTTCATGTTATTCAAAAAACCGTAGCTATGGGTAATTTTTTTTCTAGCTATGGCCAGTTAATATCCGTAGCTATGGATTGATGCCTTTTGCTACTGACTATTTAATCCGTAGCTATAAATGCAAATTTTGTAGCTACGAACATCACACAACCGTAGCTAAAAAATCAAATTTGTAGCTATGGATAACTTAAAAACCGTAGCTACAAATGTGTATGTAATTATTTAGGTTAGGCTTTAGCTATAGGCACAACTGTAGCTATAGGTTAGTTATAGCTACGGATGTGGTCAGCCGTAGCTATTGCCTATAGCCACCACGACTGTAGCTACCGTTTCTTGACCATAGCCAGTCCGTAGCTATAGATCTATAGCTATGGTTTTTCATATTTATAACTATGGTTTTMTCTGTAGCTATAGACCTATTTTCTTATAGTGCACCTTGGGCACTAGAATGTGCCACTTTTAATACATTGGTTTTGGGACAAGGCTTATTTGAGTTTGGAACTTAGATTTGAATGATAATGAAAGAAAGATTAGATGTTTGAGAATATCATCTAGGTGAATTAATGCTTGTTTGGGAGGGATGAAGTGCAGTAGTAGTCCTGATCAAAGACACAGTCTTTTCATGTTATTCAAAAGCTTAGCAAAATTATATTATAAATACACAAGACACCTTCCTCAATACCTGAATTAACATGGGAATTCACARGCTTGTTCGATTCTCTATACACATAATTTAATCTGAATCTAAACATTTTCATGGCTTTACATATATCTTTCATGTCCACTAAGCCATAGTGAATAAATAACCTAGGGACTGAAGATCCTGTTATTCATAACTTGCATTAGAATTTCATTATCACTTTTCACAATAATATTGTTGTCATTCATAACTTGCACCAGAATTTGGTTGTCACTTTCCATGATAACATCTTGCATAGCAAAGAGTTCAGCTTTCCACTGCAATCCCCAATGAAGCATGGATAAACTAGCCAACTAAAATAAAAGAGCTCTTCAGGGAGCATGGACTTTTTTTTTTTTTTTTTGATAATTACTTGAGTGAGGATGAAACAATCCTATAAAAATATAACCAATTATATAGGGGAAAAACATAGTGAAAAAGTATGGCATTCCCCATAAAATGGGGATATGCATAGGATGTCAAAACGTAGTTAAAAACATCAATAGAATAGACAAGGAAACCACAAGAAGTACTATGTATATTCCTAGAAAAGATTCTCACAGAATTAGCATTACCAATTTCCTATACATTTCTTGTTCCTATTTCCCAACTACTACTTGGGCATTTTCTTGCATATTTTGACCATTTCCCATTCCCACAGTTAAAACAGTTGGGCTTGCTTCTTGTTTATATACCTTGCATATTTTCCAAAACCAATTTTCTTTTTTGTGTCTGTGACAAGCATAGGACAAAACTTGAAGAGAGAACTTCAACTAATGGAGACTCAATTTGCAACTACCACCATTACCTACTTTGAGATCTAAATATCCTAATAAGAAAGTAGTATAGGTGAGTCTCAATAGCCTGTCCACACTGGTGCTGTATGGATCATGTTGGATTTCATTTAACCATTTTCAACCCAAACAAGACACTCAACACAACAACGCCTTACCAATCTCAGGTCAGCT